GCACTCCCATATGCAGAGTATCTGGCCCTGTTTTCTCAATTTAAAAAATAACACGTCAGGGCCAAATAATCTGCAAATTTGACCAGAATTAGATCGTTTTTGAAAGTAACACAAAAAAATCCGCCCATATGGGACAGTTGAAAAGTACATTGACGATCTGCGGCCCGCATTTTGACATATCAGGCCCGCAATTTCGGCCCGGCCCGTGAAGGCCTTATAAGCTCTATGCATAAGTGCATCAAAAACATAACCTTTTCAACATTTGACCACCATTATAACGATAAGTGTGACAAATCGTGTAACCGTACGTACTATTTGTACTTTGGGTACATATATGTACGTACATGAAATTCGTTTTAAACATTTCATTTTTGATATACAAGTAATGGGCAGATTGACAAGGAGTAAAGTTGTAGCAGACAACCTTTCATTCGAAACAATTACGAAAAAAGGGCAAAATGCAGAAGGAAACGATGTAACTGTTATGATAAAATAAATTGTTTTCTTCACAATCAAAATTTATAAAGTAAAATTGTTTTTGAAATACAGCGAACTGGGACTGAATTCTATTTAGAAATTTGGAATGTGATAAAGAACCATAGAGATAGCAGGTTATAATTTCGTGCTGTTATGATAGATGTAATTATACAAAAGTTTTTCTTTGCTAATTTGTTTTTAATATATTTTGTACAGAAATCGGCCAATGGCAAAACTTTTCAATACACTACCGGATAGGAGGCACTATCCAGATTATTATGAGGAGGTTTAGTAGTTGAGATGAAAAGTACTGAGTTTATGAGAAAATGTATGATGCGATATTTTGGTTCAAATTCAATTAATTGAAATGATTTATTCTGGCAACTAAAATTAGATAAAAAAACCAATTTCGCTAGATATCATCAAGGTTTATTTTATTTTTATTTTTATTTTTTTTTAGACTTATTTAATTGAAAGATATTTATTGGAATATTTATTACACGTTTCTAATCTGGTCGGATTCTATTTGTAAAATTTCGCAAACTTCGCAATATTATTTAGAAAAAGATAGACCGTAAGGAATATCCGGATAATGAATCATTTGAATCAGATCTTGATTTAATGTTTGAGAATGCCAAAAAATATAATGTGGAAGGTTCACAAATATATAATGATGCCAAATCATTACAGGTATGGATGTCTATATTTTTACTTATTTTTCATGTAATTTATGTATTAGATTTTCATAAATTGTAAACATTCAGAGATTAGCACATAATCTCTTAGGAGACAAATACGTTAAAACTAAAGAAGGTAGTGAAATGTATAAAACATTCGACAAGATTGAGCATAATGGTGAAACGTATAATATAGGTAAATACGGAACCCTTATTTGATATATATATATATATTTAAATATATATTTTTGGTATTATATTCATTAAATTGTATGAATTTATAGGCGATTATGTACATATTGCCAATGAACGTGACCCAGATAAGCCAAATGTTGGTCATATTTTCAGAATCTGGAAAAACCACAAGTATATAGAACGGTGTTTTTACTTTAGATATTGGTTTATAGTTTGTCTAATGTTCATATTTACTTAGAGGCGAAAACGGAGTCAATGTTTGTTGGTATTATCATCCTGAACAAACAAAGCACCAAGTTAGCAAGAAGTTCTTCCAAAATGAAGTGTTCAAAACAAACACATTTCATGACCACTTAGTGCAAGATGTTTTAGGAAAATGTTTTGTCTTGCAAGTTAAAGACTATGTCAAAGGACGGCCAAAAGGAAGTGAGAACAAGTCAGTTTATGTATGCGAATCAAGATATAATGAAGGCAGCAAAGTTTTTAATAGAATAAAGAATTGGCATCATGTAATGCCCAAAGGATTTGACTTTAAAAAAATTGAACTTGATAAATACGAGACGCCGGTTACATTGAGAAAAACGGAGAGTCCATTAGCAGCTGAATGGTTAGCTGCACATGACAAGGTAGACGAATCACAAAAATTAGAAACATCTGAATTTGAACAGACGTCAACACCAGTGTCAGTATCAGAATCGGCATCTACAACAATGACACAAACAGCAACACCTAAACCTATAAGTATGAAAAGGCAACAAACAGTCAACCAGTTAACCGATAATTTAAGTCCACACCCAATTGTACCTTCACAGTTTCCTTCTAATGTACAACCGCAGTATAACCATCAGTATCCAATGACGCAAATGAACCCATCTATGATGATGATGATGGGAAGACATGGCTATGGATATGGTGCTCATTATCAACATCCACAATCGCAGCCTATGTTGATTTCTCCTCAGTATGTACACCCACATCACTATCCAACGATGTCATCACCGGCCACACATAACATGACGACTCAGATTCCGGCAACTTCTAAAGCAATGCCCAGATCTTTTCTAAAACGAACAACATCCATTGTATCTAACAATAATTCAACTCAAAGCTTTGAGTTGCCTTCAGAAACAAGTTGAGTAACTTAATATTTATGTTTTTAACATTAAGATGATTTTGCTAAGATCTTAACACATAATTAGCCGAGCATTTTGCACGTGACGACAAAGGAAGAATGCTTTGGTTTGTTACTCCACCAATAGACGTAGTACCATTACCACGACCTGTACATTCAATAGAATATCTTTGTAGACAAGAAGAAATTAAAAAGCGTAAGGTAATGTGAATTTTATTTTTCGTTTAATACTTATATTGTTTGCTAGGCACGTCTAATTTTTATTTTGTTTTGGAGTAGAAAATACAAGAGACGAATTGCGTTGGTGAAAATCAATCTGAACGACCGCAGAAAATACCAAATCTCTCACACTCTGATACTAGTAGCATAATGAATAATGATAAACTACTGGACATTATTGAGGGTATTTAATAATTTTTAGTTGCAATTCATTTAAATGAATTTTTTTTTTTTTTTTTTTTTTACTATGTCGTTTTCTGCTATTAGGATTAGCAAGCACTTGGAAACAGGATGCTATATCACTTAGTCAGAAATTCAGCTCACCTTCGGATTATATGGAAATAAACGATGATATCTAACTTGATCATGTCTTAGTCATATATTAACATGTAGTATATTGAGTTTTTAATATTCGAGACTTCTGAATTGGTAAAGCTATTTTAATAAATTATCAAAATTATTTGTCATTTGTCATTTTTTTATATTGTACGTGCATAAGGATTGTCCGAGAGTTTACGTAAACGGTTTACGCTATAAATTAGGAACATTCTAGCAGCACACATTTATTTGTAATCCAATATTGTAATAAAAGTATATTCAAAAAAATTTATTATATTAAGCGTATATTTCGTTTTTTAACATTAAATTTCGTAAATTAAAATAAAATACATTAAATTTAACATTAATGGCCGAAGATTTAAGTAGGTAGTTAAACTGAATGTCATACTCATTAGCGCTACTGCATAAACATTTACCGAAGTCTAATGAATTTCAGTTAGTTTTCAAGTTACGTTTAAAGGCAAGACTATTCAGGTGGAAAATTTAAATTCGAGTTATTCGATTCGAAATTTAAAAGAATATCTTGCAGAGGAGACGAGCATTCCTGTAGAATTTCAGAAACTGTTTTATAAAGGTAAAGTTATCGAAATATTTTTACAGGATCACATTATTCTTATTTAATTTGTATTTTATTCTCCAGGTCTGCTGAATAATGATTCTACACTGCTGGAATGTAATTTTAAGAATGGTATCAAAGTATTGCTAGTAGGAAGTTCTCAGCAAGACATTCAAGCAATTAAAGAAGCAGATTCGAAGATTATAAACCAGCCGTTAAGGTCAAAATATGCAATTAATGTAAGCGACAACTTCTTTTGTGTGAATACAATTTTTGTTTTAATCGTAACGTCCTTTAAAAAATTTTTACAGCCATACAAAAATGTCAGAGTGGAAAATTCATTTGATAGCAAATATACATTTCATAAAATTGAAGTAATTGAACATTTTCCTAATCCCGATCGGGCCCGTGCTTTACTTGAGAAGTTACGAGATGATCGAGGCATCCGTGGAATTATGTCACACTATAAATGGAGTGTGGGAATACTGCAGTAAGTTTTTTTTTAAATTACGCGATTGTTTTTTTGTCGTTAACTTATTAACAAACTTTTATTTTTTATTTTTTTAATTTATTATTATTATTATTATTATTTAAGGGAATTAAGTCGTAAGGGTTCTAGAACTCTCCCCCTTTTTTTGTTTTTTTGCTGTAATTATGTAGTTATGTTAATGATAAATCAAATTATTGTACAGCTGCCGAAGAAACGATCTTAGGATTTAACAAAAATAGTGGACAATTAATTTCTTTAAGATTACGTACGGATGATATGCAGGGGTTTAGACATTACCCTGAAATAAGACGTGTCTTGCTACACGAACTCACGCATAATGTTTGGAGCGAACACGATGATAATTTTCATCGTTTGAACAGGCAATTAAATAAAGATGTTGGTAAGTTTGATGATATTTTTTTGATTTTATCGAAAAAAGTATGATAGTTTTGCTCATTTAATATTTTTAAAGTTTCAATGGATTGGACTGCGTCAAAAACATACAAGGTTTCAAGTGCAGAATTTTATAATCCACCAGAGGAAGAAAAAATTGATGCACGCTTGTGGGAAGGCGGTACATATGTACTAGGTGGAAATTCAACCCGTGCCAATGTTCTATCAAAGCGGGAACTCTTAGCGGAGGCTGCTTTGATCCGACTAACAAAAGAAGAAAAGGAATTAACTGAAGGATGTGGTTCTCACAGGCAATTAGATGAATCTCATGAAAAATCAAATCAACCCGATAATAGTTAATGTATACGAGTATATAGAATTAAATATAATATGGTTAATTGCAGTAACACCTCCGTAAGTTCACATTTATAATTGCACACCTCCTTGTATACACATTATTACCCGGACCAACGCCCACTTACGGAAGTGTTATTATGCGTTTATATATTTCTATTGACTAGTTTTAAACACACAAATTCTCTAAGTGCACGTGCATACCATGTCAAAGGACATTTATTGCATTTTGTATTATTATTTTATTTATATCTATAATGTTAATAGATTAACTAATCACTTGAATTATTACTATTAAAAGCTTTAAGAATGATCAATCAACCAATCAATCTTAATGCAAACATAATCATGTATTGTTATCTGCGTAAACGTTTTTTAAACCTTTCAGCAACTATATCATCCGTAGCCATTTCTCTGCGCTGCCCGGGTTTATAATGAGAAGGTTGATTTAGCGTTTCTTGCTGATTTCGTTCATGATCACTGACCGTCGAACGAGTGCGATAAACTGTTGAAATAAAAATAATCAGCTCATATTCTAATGTCAATAGCCATAAATAGGAAATAAGAACTTACATCTATTAGTTGCTGAGAAATTTGATCCCTCAAACTTAAATAAATCATAAATCATAATAATAATAATAATAATAATAATTAATACATATAATTTATAATTAATTCATGAATTCATCAGATTACAAAATTATTTAACTTACAGTATCATCTTCCTCTTTAGGTTTCTGATGTCTCTGTTCCAATAGCTTGCGCTTTGCCTTTTCAGTTTCTTCAATATTCTTCAATCGCACACTGTTAAAATGAAAATTAGCATATTAGGATTTATGCTAGTTGAGAGTAACAAACATGTTCACTGACTCTATTCCAAGATCGACTTCAGGTATAGCGGTAAGCATAGTGGTTGATAATTGAACGTTTCCTTCCGATATCGGTTTGCTTTCGATCTAAAATAAGAATTAATCATTGACTGTAATGCATAATATTAATCAATAAAATTTTAAATATTAATAATTATTCAATATACTCGTAAATGATCGGGGGCTTGGAATAGCTCATCTTGAGGATTTAAGGGATCTGCATGTTCAGCGTCCTCTACATCATTTTTCAAATCAGAAATTTGTCCTCTCCGTTTACGCATTTCTTCTTCTATATATGCCATCCTACAAATAATGAGAATTTTAGCTTCATTTAAAGGAATTGTCGACCTCAAAGAAAGAAAAATTTTACATGTGCTTATCAACATCTAAAGCATTTGTTTGTTTTGTGAATGAATCAAGCATGATCTTCCTTTCTGCAAAATCTTCTTCTTCTTCTTCCTCTCTATTTTAATAAATTTTAATAGATGTACGATTATTAAAGATTCGTAATTCACGACCTTGTTGCGAATTTTACTAATTAATAAATAAAACTTACCTCTCAGCCTCTCTTACAGCTTCTAAATCAACGATTCCACCAGTAGTCAATTTCCACGGATCTTCATCCTTCTTTTTCTTTTTAGATCTGGCTTCACCCTTTAATAGCTTTTCCGCATCTATGCCCTGATGTCTTCGACGAAATTTGCGAAGTTCGATAAGTTCTTCTATTGTTTCACTATAAATCGAGAACATTATTAATAGATCTAGGTCATTGCTTTGTACTTTAAAGTATATTTTACCTTACCTCACTTCATCTGAGACATTGTCGTTTTCCACTATATGAGAAGTGTCTGTATTTTCATTTTCTTGCCCGTTTTCGGGTTTGCTTTTTTTGCGATAGTTACGCTTGCTTGACATCACGTCTATTTAGTCTATCACGTAATCTTAAATATTAATTTTCAGATCATGTGATCTATTCGGATATTAAATTGTTAATTACAGAATTAAAGCAATAGAACAATAAAATAGAATGGCAATTAGAACAGCATAATTAAATTAAATTGAGCCCTGAATATATTTACAAACCTTCGAACCGAATTCAGACTGAATGGGGTTCAAACAGTATCAGTTAGAATTTGCTACGTGATCGAGAAAGTTATCACTAATTACCGAAGGCGTTGTACGTAAATTGCTATTCCGAGACGCTCATCAAAATCTTTTAATTTTTATTTTTTAAAGCTATATCAAAAATAAAACAATTACATGTAAAATTAAATTTTAAATATCCTTATTTTAATAAAATTTTGAGCTATTGACATTTATTTATCCTAAAATTCTATCAATTAGATCACATGAGTAAACTACTGCCGGTAAGCAAGTAAGGCGCGATGCATAACAGCTATTATCCGATATTACCGGTAAATGTCAATACAAAGAATAAAGAGACCAATAATATTTTGGGTATGCATGTCGGTGATCAAAAATTCTGAATCATACAATACTAAATGAAGTGAAAATTTTTGACAAATAAGATGGATTTTGCACAAATCAAGAGAGATGTTTATGAGGCGATCTCAGGTAAACCAATTTCGAAGTATATAACTAATGCACTGGATGTTATTGAGGAATCAATAAAGAAATATGGGTATGTGTAGCCTTTATTTCTGTATTTATTTTTTTATTAAATTTAATATAGATACAAAATGTTTGTAAAATATACAGAGTTGAAGGCCTGAGCCTCTCTTTCAATGGGGGGAAAGATTGTATGGTATTACTACATTTGTTCGCTGCTGCCTTGTTTAAACAATTCCATGATTCTATCAATACACTCAATATTCAAGCGGTGTATATTGCATACCCAAACTCTTTTGCTGAAGTCGATGATTTTGTGAACGAGTGTGTTCGCAATTATAAAATTGATCTCGTTACGATAGAAGGACCTATTAAACAAGCATTGGAAAAGTATTCTAAACTACGACCGAATGTCAAGGCAATCTTTGTGGGTACTCGGAGAAATGATCCTCACGGAGGTAAGATAATAATTTTGTAATATTAATTAAAATATTCTATAACCAACGTTACTCAAATTCAAATGTACTCATAGGTAACCTATCAAAATTTATGCCAACGGACCCAGATTGGCCACCCTTCATGCGCGTTCATCCAATACTTGATTGGCGTTACGCTACGATATGGGAGTTTTTGCGAACATTGAAAGTACCTTATTGCATTCTATACGATAAAGGGTAAATATTGTTAACTTTATCTATCCTAGATATTTCAAATAATTAAATGTTTCTCTGATCTGTGTGAACTATTTAAGATACACCTCTTTGGGAGGAACCGACAATACGCATCCTAATCCTGATCTTCGCAATCCCACACAACCCTGTGGATATGATCCGGCATGGAAATTGGTCGATGAAAGTAGAGAAAGAAGTAGTAGAGAATGAAAAAGATTATCATGGATCACCCCTAAAGCTGATCCTTAAAAAAAAAAAGCTAAAAACATGTAACCCAAGATTTTGTATTTTTCGGTGGCTTGTCTATACAAAATTTCATTTTAATCTGATTTCATTTTTATCCGCCACAAAGATTATGGTTAAATCTAAGACAGCCGATGCTTACTAGAAAATGAATACTGTAAATATGTTATGATTAGGATAAAAATTTAGTAGTAATATTACAGTAATAATAATTAACATAGACTAGATGTGATTAGATTTTTAGTTAAACATAATCAGAAATAATATTATAATAGAAAGATGGAATAATTATAATGAACCTTAGTTTAATGATTTATTATATATATATATATATATATATTAAAAAATTCATAGTCATAGCCAAATGTAAACTTTAAACGATTGCTCATTAAAAGTGATTTTACAATCTACAATTTTTTTTTTTTTTTTGTACAGTAGGTAGGAAACAAAAGAAAGCTTATAAATAACTGTTTTTATATGTTCATAGTAATTAGTTTCAAAATTGGGTGACAAGTGATTTGAATATTTAATGTACGGAATCACAGGTGCCCCATATTATTGTCAAGATAGAAGTGAATATTTTATTGTCCAAATATTAGACTCCTGAAAATTACATATTCTCTAAAAGCATATTAACGTTACAACACAAGATAATGGTGAAAATAATAGTGGTAACATCAATAGAAAGACTTTCATATGATTGTCTGTTTAAATCAAATTTACATTTTTTTATACAGTTTAAAGTACTTTTTTAAAAAAAAATCAAATAAATCAAAAAAAAAATACATGGAACGTTTTATTAGGGTCGTAGGACTCCACTATTAAAAATAATCAAAATCCCTTTTATTTTAGAGAAGTTATAACGTATTTTTTAATAGTGACCCCAATAAACTTTCTATATACTTTTTTGATTTTTTTTAAAAAGTACTGTACTTTAAACTGTAAATAGTATAAAATAGTCAATCATACAAAAGTCTAGTGTTTAGATCCGAAATCCGACTGTCTGAATTGATCCTTAAATCTAGATAAATTCAGATATCGATATTCAGATTAAAGATTTTTATTCGGATTGGTCAAGATACTTAAATAACGAACCTAAGAGTGACACAAAAGCTGGCTTTATATATAATTTAATGCGGATTCAATAGAATCCGGATGACCTATCAAAAATAGGATCGAAACACTACAAAAGTCTTTCTATGAGTGGAGGATTGAAACACTACAAAAGTCTTTCTATGAGTGGTAGCATTATAAGAACTGATCTAACGTTACCAACCGCTAAAAAAATTTCGATGTTAGATTAGGATTAGGTTTTGCTATTAAGCTAGGATAGAAAGAGCTTTAGTGGTACCAAAATTTCGCAAGGAATACTTTTTGTTAGTGCGCAGAAGGTGGTTTCATAGATAAAATGTTGAGCTATGAGCGGGTTGGATTTTTCGCGTCACACTGATCTTAAATCTGATTGACCAGTGAAATTTCAGGTCGGTAGCAGTGAAAAAAATTGTGCACATGAATTTTATACACTGGTTGGTAGACTAGAAGATCAGTATATGGGCTAGATGCTGAGAAAAAAAACCAACAATTTTTTCAAAAATCTTTTTTTAACAAATCCAAAATTAGCCTCAAACTATTTTTTTTTTTTACTTAGAGAACAAATATTGTTATTTTAATAATAAAATTTTGCAATATAACTCTTTAAAGTTGTATTGTCTTATATAGGGGTACCGAAAATTCAATTGCAATTAAGGGTAGGGTGTCCGTAGATCATTTTTAATAGTAATCATGTGGTACTCATATGAAATCATGTGATTGACCAAT